ATTTACTGTGCACATGGTAGCTGATCAATTGGGACTTTACTGAATGGCCGGGATGGGAAAGTCCAGCACCCCATGTGCTAGGGTGACTTTCCAGACACTAAATATCTGCTCAGAAGCCAATCAGCTGTAGCCAGAAGTTGGGAGGGCATCCTGCATCTCTCAGCCCTCCCCACCAAGTCCTGTTGTCCTTAATATGGATGACACCTGAGTGTACTGGGGACATGGGACTGGGTGGGACAAGGAGGGCAGGTTTGAACTCAAGTCTAAATAGCTGGTCTGGAAGGAAGTATGACAACTCTGTGTTAACCTTTTTACATTTATATTTGTTACTCAAAAACCTTATGAGTAAGTTTTTGCTATTACAATAAGAAGACTTCAGACAAACCCAAGATGGAGAACCAGGTAATACAGAGGGCTGGAAGAACCGGGCAAGAGACTGGGGCAGCCCACAGGAGGGATGATGCTACTTCAACTCTGCATCCTCTGGGATCGCGAGCCAAAGGGTCGGAGAACCGCTAGGGAGAAGGTGTGAGTGATGAGGCCCTGGCGGTGAGCTCCAATTCCAGGGCTGGGGTGGTCCATTGTAGGCGGCTCCTGGGATGGGCTAGGGGCTGCTTCCAACAGAGCCCTTGACCGATGCAAGTGTAGGTGGTAAAATCAGCAGCCAATTGGCTCACCCAAGGAGCAGCTACGATTCCAAGGTTGTGCACACACCCTCAGGGGGTGGTGGGCATAGAACTTCCCAGGCCTTCTCTGCACCTCTAACAGTTATGCTATCAATACTATTTGAAAAGGATGACCCAACTCCTTTCTGATCAAGATACAATATTTCTAAATATTGGGTTTGTGTGTTTTTTAATTTCTGCACTGTCTAGGGAAGGGATGATGTGCTTGCAGCATGGCATCCCCATTCTTCCAGTCAACCGAATGGCATCAGTAAGTGGTGATGTCACTCTAACTGACCCTCAGAGTCCTTCTCAGCATAAAGCTGGGCAGCCCCTTCCTGTTGGTTGTAATAAAATCCACTTGCCACTTGCTGGCCTAGAGAATGTAATAATATGATTTCAATAGCTAGATGCCGACCTTTCCAAAACGTTGGCTTACAACAGCTTCTTGGATTACAGTATTTTAACAGTAACTTGTCAGTAGATATTTTATCACTGATGTGGGCATAGTTTGTTGCAGCCTACTATACTACTATTACTGCTGGTATTTTTTCTCAGAACACCCTTTGTTTCCATAGCAGTTCTCATTTTCCACGTGACAAAGGCCATGGAGCTGGCCGTGTGTGTACAACACAGGTCAGAGAGCTCCCGTTTTGCTTTGGCGAGTGTAGATGGGATGGTCCACTTCACCCTGAGGCCTTTCTCCAGTGTTACGCTGTGAGACCCAGTGGGTCCTCTTGCCTTCAACGCCTTTGTCCTTGCACTCAAGCAGAGAAGAGTTAAAATAAAATTATAATGCCTATTATTAACCAGCATTCCTGTTTTAGTCATTCTGCTAATCGCTTCACATCCATCCTCCCATTTCTTCTTCACAGTAACCTTGCCAGATAGGTAGTAGTAACATCTTCACTTAACAGGTGGAGAAACTGTTAGAGAGGTTAAACAACATTCCCAGAGTTACACAATAGAGAGCAGAGGCAGGGTTGGAATCTACATCCATCTGATTTCAATATCCATAATTGTACCACGTTCTTAGACCCAGGGTGTTTGAGAAGCCCATCTTGTGCTATGAGAGGAGAACAAGTAATGCCATAGTTCATGTGACCAATCCATTAGGGAACCTGCTATCCATGAGTCTTCCTAGGATCCGCAGAAGCAAGGTGGCCCAAGGATGATCCAGGGCATTACCTATTGGCTGGGCTAGAACTCCTACAAACAGACCCAACCAGAACTAGAGGGTGGTGGGTTTTGTGTGATAGAGGCATGGAGTGCAGCAGACACTCAGCATTGGAAACTTCTGGCTCCTGCCCTGTGTGATGCATGCTTACTTTGCTACTTTTTTTAATGACAAAGGAACATGCTTTGGTTTGTTTTAGGAGGAGAGGGATTGAAGGAACCAAGGGTAGCTGTGGAGGAAATTAAGAAACTTGAGGCTAGATGGAGCCTCGGCTGGGTTTTGGAGTTCAAGAGGTTAACAGGACTGAGTTTAGGTAAATTTGTCCTCTCCATTTTGCTTGAAATGTTGTGGGGTGTGTGTGTGTGTGCGCGTGTGTGTGTGTGAATGTTAGAAAAATCAGTGTAAAGTTACCAGTGTTAATGTTCATAATAAAAGTTAATATCTGTGAGGCTTTAATGGTCCAGGCTCGCTTTTATTATTAACATCAATTTAACACTCTCAGAGAAGTTATTAGACTCTAACCTCCCCTGTCATTGCTCTCAAAATAGGAATAAATGCCATTTTCCTCTGGTTGTTAATTCAGCTTTTAGAAACAGAACATCGGCAAGAGCCTGCCTATAAACAATCCCAAATACTATGTGATCACTGCCTCAGCTAGAAAAAAATAAATATTAATGAGACCATGTCCTGGCCAGTGGTACAAATGCCACGGGCTTCGGGCAGAATTACTATGAATGATCTGAATCATAAGCTTGTGTTGGAAACAAATAATTTTACTCCAAACCTCATCATACAGATTGCGAGGAGCATTCTTCATTTTCTTTTGCACGTGTTGACAGCCTGATTAAGAGCTTTGGGCACTTGCCATAGTTCCCCATTTGAGAGTGATCTGTGCTTCTCCTGGGGTGTTTCCTTGGTCTGGCAGCGTGGGGTTGCTGTGTCCCTGGGACTGGCAGAACTCTCAGGGCAAAGCAACTTTTAAACCATCCGGATTTTGCTATCACCCCTGAGCTTTGGAAAAGTCTTTCAATGTAAGCTGGACTGGGAACCTCTTTCATCCTCACCCCCTCATCACCCCATGGTACCCGGGAGTAGTTTGGTGACCTCAGACTACTATACTAGGTGCTTGTCAAAAATTAGGAGTGGCATGCTTCTCTTGAGCTATGCCCGATTACTTTTAAGCCTAATCTGTTTAAAACACTGGTAGAATTTCTAGGATACCAAGATTCTTGGCAACCTTGGGAATGTTTTCCTGCTGCCTCTCACTCCTCTACTCCAAATGGGATTACTCGAGCAGATGTGGCAATGTTAATTTCAGGCCCCTACTTGAGTGCTTTACTTTTCCGGTGTGAAAGGATGTGAGTAGCTTTCCTATACTTTGGAGTGGTAGATGTAGATGGTTTTGTCCTATACTTTGGAGTGCTAGATATAGATGCTTTTGCCCAATAGTGGGTGTTGCTTCAAATGGGAAGTGTCCTGATTCTGGTTTTTACTTCCTTGGGGGTAAGGTGTTAAACTTGATCTCATAGTTCCATTTCATCCCTTGAGAATGTTTCACTGCAGAGCCTTCTCTGTCCTACAAGATGCTCTGTAGCATTAAAGAAAAACCTCAGCACCTTTGCACTAAGCATCACTGATGTGTTACATGCTTTTTGTGTATCAGAGCATGTAAATTACCTTCCAGGGAAAGGACTCATATCTCAGGGTCACTTAAGTACAACAGTGACAATTTGCTGATTACAGCAGTTTCCCCAAAGAAAAAGGAAAGTCATCACTATTTGTGTAGCAAAGATTAGAAAGCTTGAGAATAATAAAGGGAATTTGGCCAAGGATCTCCTGGCATGCCATGTCAGCTTATGTATTAGTCAGGGTCCTCCGGGAAGCATGTGTTGAGATGGGATTAAACTTGCATGCATTTTGTTAGGAGAAACTACCACGTGAGGGAAGATGAAGAGGGAATCAGGGAAGGCCAGGAGGGCCATTAAGCCTTGATGCAAATCTGACTCCATGTCAAGAGAGAAGGAGGGAAGGCTGAGAGAAAGCACCTTGGACTGCCTGCTGCAGTTTCTGGCGGGTCTGCAGGGTGTTGGGGACCCTTGTGTCTGCCTTAGTGATGTAAAACAGTCATTGGTTGGGAGCAGCCCTGGGGAAGCAAGTCCTCCTGCAAATGCAGCGATGACGGATTTCAAAGCACCACATCTTGAGCCCTTAGTGGGTGGTGCTCCCTGTAGTTGGAGTCTGCGAGATGTGTTCCAGAGGCTGCCACAGTGCACTTTTCTTAAACCGGAGAATGTTCCTCCATTAAATAAGTGCTTTGTGCCAGACAATGGCTACATTCTGGTATCACGGAGGGCGGCCAGAGGGAGAGGGAGATGAGAGGAGACCCTGTGCTCTGCAATGCAGAGGCATCTCCCTGAGCAGCCTCCCTCTGCGGACGGGCATTTCACAGGCTTCTCCACGAGGAAGCAGCAGGGTGGTGGTGCCCAGGTCCACAGGTCACAAAGCCCATTGGTATTGTCAGGTCCTGTGCTTCACTGCATATAGGTCAAGACCACAGATGGTGGCAGCTACCTGAAGCTGCCATCACTCAGGACATGGCAGGTCCTTTCCCCTCCAAAGCGTCATTCTCATCTTCCTTTGACAAGGCACGCGCACGTGTTCTCTCTCCCGTTCCCCCGCCAAGCTTGCAACAGGCAGGGGTGGACTCTCACACCTCTGCATAGTGAAAGTGAGGATTTCCATTTGTCATTCTGATTTTGTCCAGTGGCCTTTCTAGTGTCCTTTGGTCCTTCCTCTGCTTAGTGAGGGGTCCTCCTGCTTCTTGAGAGATGGTAGCTGATGTGGGTGCCTGAGTCAGGCTGCTAACGTTGGCTGCATGATTTATTTGGGGTAAGTTATCTAAGCTCTCTGTGCCTCAATCTCTCATTTGTAAGAAAGATAACAATGCCTGTTGCTAACACTTACGACTGTTTTGAGGATTAAATGTGATAACACAAGCAAGCTTTTAGCATAGTGCTCAATAAATATCAGTTATTGTTAGACTGAACCCCACAGAATTGCCATTTTTCTAAATCAAGAAATTTAAATTTTGGCAGTTTCATGCGGTTTTACCAAAAACTATGGGTGGGCAAAACTTTTTGGTTTGGAAACTTCCTTACCCTCTGTTGGGTACTTGGTAGAGCAGCTGGGGTGAGCTGCTTTTGCCTTCCTGGCAGGACCTGGCACGTCACCCTCCGAAACTGGAAGAGAAGGCAGGTAGCTATTAGGTGGGAACAAAGACATTGATTCCATCACACCTGTGTTCACATCTTCTTCATACCAATCAGTGTTCACAAGGGTGACCTTGGCCTGAAGACAGCCCCCTTGAGTGTGTGTTCAGCCCATGAGAGGAGAAAGCCCTCTCCCTATTCACAGACCAAAATAAGCCACATTAGTATGGCTACTTCGATGTCAGAAATAACCATTGATCCATATATTAGTCTGGGTTCTCCAGAGAAAAAGAATCAATAGGATATATATACACACACACACAGACACACACACACACATATATAACACACACACACACACATATAAAGAGACACATACACAAACAAATGTATACACACACACACACACACAAACACACATAGAGAGACAGAAGCCGAGAAAGAAAGAAATTTATACAGAGACATTGACTCACGTGATTGCAGAGGCTGAGACATTTTGTAATCTGCCCTCTGCAAGCCAGAGGCCCAGGAAGGCCAGTGATGTAAGTTCCAATCCAAGCCCAAAGGCCTGAGAACCAGAGAGCCAATGCTGTGATTCTCACCGATCAGGCCCAAAAACTAGAAAGGTCAATGGTGCAAGGCCTAGTCTGGGTCTGAGGGCAGGGTACTTATGTCCTAGCTCAAGCAGTTAGAGCAAGAGAGAGAGAGAGAATCCCCCTTTCCTCTGCTTTTTTGTGCTATCCAGGCTTGCAGCAGATGAGATAATGCTGACCCACATTGAAGAGGGCCATCTGCTTCACTCAGTTCATGAATTCAAATGCTAATTTCTTCCAGAGACACCCTCACAGACACACCTAGAAATAATGTTTGGCCAGATATCTGGGCAACTCGTGACCCAGTCAAATTGACACATAACTAACCATCACAGTCCAGGTAGACTTACCTAAGGTGAGTCTGATTTAGTTAAGAGCCTATCTTTGTGCCTTCTGGGAGACCATGGGAACCCTTCAACGCCAGCCATGGAGAGAGGTGCTCCTTCTGCTACCAGGCTTAGGTAGGTGCAGAGCAGGTCCTACAAAGTGAGGGAGGAGTGGTTCTGAAATGGTGGCCTGAGATCCCCATTCTCACCTCTGCTGAGTTGCCTCATGTCACAGGTACTCCTTGAGGTCAAGACATTTACTACCCGCAGCCGCAGTTAAACCAACAATATGCAGTGATTCATGTTTTTATGTAGGGGACAGTTTAGTGTTATGGGGAAGAGCACTGGATTTGGAGTGTGGAATTAAGTTATTCCTGGCTGGGTGGCTGTGTGTAAGCATTTTCTCTCCCTGGAACCTCCTCCATAGCATGAGGGTTTTGCAGCGAAGTTCGGATGGCAAGGACACCTTCTCCCCCAAACTATCACTGACCAATGAACATCAACTCCTTGGAGACTGGAAGGGCCTGGACAGCACCATCCTGTCCAGAAAAGCCAGTGGTGTAAGTACCAGTCCAAGCTCAAAGGCCTAAGAACCAGGGAGCCGATGCTGTAATTCCCAGCATAGGAGGCTTAGAACTAGAAAGGTCAGTGGTGCAAGTCCTGGTCTGAGTCTGAGGGCAGGAGACGTATGTCCTAGCTCAAGCAGTTAGGCAGAGAAAGAGAGAATCCCCCTTTCCTCCACTTTTTTGTGCCGTTCATGCCTGCAGCAGGTGGGATGAGAAGTACACCTTTTCTCCCAAACCATCTCTGACCAATGAGCATAAGTTCTGATATGCTTTGGCTGTGTCCCCACCAAAATCTCATCTTGAATTGTAGCTCCCATAATTCCCACGTGTGATGGGAGGAACCTGATGGGAGGGAATTAAATCCTGGGTCCTGGTCTTTCCATGCGGTTCTCATGAGAGCGAATAAGTCTCATGGGAAAAGATGGTTTTATGAGAAATGACAGTTTTATAAAGGGGAGTTTCCCTGCACATTCCGTCTTGCCTGCCACCATGTAAGACATGCTTTTGCTCTTCCTTCATCTTCCACCATGGTTGTGAGTCGTCCCCAGCCATGTGGAACTGTGAGTCCATTAAACGTCTTTCCTTTATAAATTACCCAGTCTCAGGTATTATTAGCAGCATGAGAACAGATCAATATAAACTCCTTGGAGACTGGGAGGGCCTGGACAGCACCATCCTAGTGCACAGCTTCTACCCAGGACACTAACAAATCATAAGAGGAGGGGGAAAAAAGGCCCTTGGGACAGAGCATTAAAAAAAAGAGTCCTATTTTATGTCATTGCCAAAGGAGAAGGGGCTCTATCTGCAGCAGGAGTTAGAGCCTTCCCCCTCTCATTCCCTTCACCATTCTGTCCTCTTGAGCCATGAAGCAAAGCCACCTGTAGCCAACATTGAAGCCTCTGCTCCATCTACACTTTCATATATTGTCCCCTCTCTTTCTCATTCCACTTCTCTCCCTCACTCCTGTTGCCTCCTTCATGTTACTTACTCCTGATTTTCTTTCAACGTTCCTGACCATTTCTAGTCACTTTCTTTTGGCTTCTTTATCTCTAATTACTCCTATACTTCCCAGGCTGAATTTTACAGAGGGGACAATTACACACTTGCAGAAATACTGTCATCAGTGGCCTCCCATTCATGTACAGAGCGCATGGCCATTATTACTACCCCATGAGGTTCAGCTGCTAGTTAACAGTTATGTAAAAAGATTAAAGAGATGCACTAGAATAATGTCAGCTGAGTTCACCTTTCCTTTCACTTTTCATTGTGTCATGGAATTGGAAGTAACTTTGAAGTTTATTCTTGTCATTAGGTTAAAACTTAAGGAGTCTGGTGGCTGGACATGGTGGCAGGTACCTATCATCCTGCACTTTGGTAAGCTGAGGTGGGAGGATCATTTAATGTTAGGGGTTTGAGACCAGCCTGGGCAACATAGTGAGACCTTGACTCTACAGGAAAAAAAAAGAGAGTCTAGTGACTTGTCAAAGGTCCATCTGCTTATCTAGTGGTTGAGATAGGATTATTTAACCTAAGGTTAAACTCTCAGCTAATTTTTTTTCTATTTTAATTCCAAAACCAATATCCAATATGAAATCACATCATGGACATCTCAAAACAAACTTTCCCTGAGTTTTCAGGGTTGATTTCTTTGGGCAACATAAATTACACGTGGAGCAGGCAGTCAAGTTTGTGAATTAATTTTGCAGTCATGGTAAGAATCCCTCAACTTAAGTTTTGAGCTTTTGAAAACTCTGGAAATTGATTTCAAGTTTTATTGTCTTTGTTTCCAAAACGATGAATTAGAAGCACACCGCCCTTTCCCACCTACTCTATAATCCCTAAAAGGTTGAGAACAGATGGGACACGATGGAAGAGGGATGCCACAAGCCAACAGATGGCTGCGTATACACTTCCATAGATGTTAGCACCATACAGGACCTTCCTTATCTGGGATGGAAGAAGTCAGGGGCAGGCAGAGTCCAGGGGAAACCTAAAGGGTGGTTTGCTGGGGAATGACCATGGTGGTCATCAGCCAGATTCACTCCATCATGTCTCCCCTTCCTGAGACATTTGATCTCTAACAATGTTAGAGAGAGACAACAGACTCAATAAATGGAAAATCATCTGCTTGAGGAAATGGAATTAATAGAGCAATCAGGATGTATAATTAATACATCAAAGAAGTAAGTTTTAAAAAATAAACTAGACATCTTAAGAATGACTGCTAGACTGAGCCAGCAATATTTTTAATAAGTGCTGTCTGATACCGAGAAAATAAAACCAGATGCTTTTAGCTTAAGGAAAACAAAACAAAATGAAGGAAAGCAAAGCAAAATAGTTGATTTTTTGGGGTGGGAGGGGATTTTACCATCCCATTCATTTATTCATTCAACTCATATGTTGAGCACACTATTGTAGGTGCTGGAATACAGCAAAGAAATAAGACAAATGTGGTCTCTGTTGTCATGGAGCTTTGACTTGGAGAATGAAGGGAAACAGTAAAACAGTTAATCAATGAAGCAACAAGTGAAATATTGATAGTGGCATATGTAGAGACTGAAGTAGAGAGATGCAATAGAGAAGAACTATGATGGCTACTCTAAATTAGTCAGGAAATGTAAGTGATATCTGAAGATCAAGAAGAAACCATGTGAAGGTGAGAAAAGAAGAGGAGCCATAAAGCTGAGGCTTGGAACCTATGGGAGAAGGAGGAAGGTTACAACATTAGGCTGGAAAGACTGATCGGGGTGAGATCATGAGGAGCCTTGTGAAATGAGAGAGCTCATTGTGCCATCCTCGGTAAGTTGTCATTACACCACTGTGTTTTGACACACATCAGTGTGAAACTACTGTTGTGAAAAAGCCTAACCTGGGTGGAAATAAAACTCATCCTAGGCCACAGACGATTTGAAGGAATTAATTTGCAGGATTGGTTAAGGGAAGGACACTACTGGATGAGAACAGAAGGCCCTCTTAATTTATTTAAAGAACACATGGCAGCTTAAGGTAAAAGCAAAATATATGACCATAGTAGCAAAATCTGAAACTGCTACTTATTGATAAATACTACTAAGAAAATGCAAAGGCACACTGCAGACTCTGAGAAAGTATTAGCAACACGTATACTTGACAAAGGCTTTGTATCCAGAGCACATAAAGAACTCCTACAAATCAATATGGAAAAAGCCACAACCCAACAAAAAATGGAGCAAAATTCTCAACAGAAACTCCACAAAAGAAGACACAGGAATAGCCAATAAGAACATGAAAAGATGCTCAACAACATTAGTCACTAGGAAAATGCAAATCAAAACCACAAGATGCAATTTCACACCCTCTAGAATTAGCTAAAATTAAAAAGATTGATAACATCAAATGTTTGTGAGGATGTAGAGCAACTGCAACTCTCATACACAGCTGATGGTAGCCTAAAATGACACAACAACTTTGGAAACTGTTTGACAGCTTTTCATAAAGTTAACTATATACCTCCTCCTCCTCCTCCTTCTTCTTCTTTTTTGAGACAGAGTTTCCCTCTGTCACTCAGGCTGGATTACAGTGGCACGGTCATGGGTCACAGCAGCCTCGACCTCCCCAAGCTCAGGTGATCCTCCCATGTCAGCCTCCCAAGTAGCTGGGACTAAAAGCATGCACCACCAAACCTGGCTAATTTTTGTATATTTTGTAGAGACGGGGTTTCGTCACATTGCCCAGACTGGTCTTGAACTCCTGGGCTCAAGCAATCCTCCTGCTGTGGCCTCACAAAGTGCTGGGATTACAGACATGAGCCACTGCACCTGGTCTATGTGCCTTTTTAATGACCTACCTATTCTATTCCAAGGTATAGCCCAAGACAAATGAAAATATTTATCCACAAAATGTCTTGCATAAGAGTATTTATAGGAGGTTATTCATGCCAGTCAAAAACTGAAAATAATCCATGTGACAATTGAAGGGAAAATGAATAAAAAATAATTACTAAAGGGAAAATTGTGGTATACACACAAAAGTATTTGTCACTGATACAGGTAACAGCATAAGATAATCCATAAAACATTGTGTTGCGTATAAAGAAGCTAGTCACAAAGAATATGCACAGTATAATTTAATTGATGTGACATAAAAGAACAGGCAACACTAACTTATGCTGGTAGAAATCAGAACAGTGGTTGCTCTTGGGAGTGGGGACTCAGTAGAGGTTTCTGAGTGACGGAAAAGCTTTCCACCTTGATGATCTTAATCATGGTGGGAGTTGTGTGGGTGTATACACCCTTCAAAATTCACCAAACTATATATGTAAGATATGTGTCTTTTACTGTTTGTTAATTTCACTCCAATTGGAAAAGATGGGGAGGTAGAGTAGGAAAGAGATTAGAGACAATGAGAATAGTTTGCTCCTTCAGGGAGTTTTACTTGGAGGAGAAAAGGGAAAAGGAATGGTAGAATGGTGACTGGAGGGGAAGAAAGGTCCAGAGTTTTGTTTGTTTGCCTGTTTCTTACGACGGGAGAGGTAACAGCATAGATATTTGCTGATGAGAAAGATTAGCAAGAGAGAGAAAAAATAAATGGTTCAGGAGAAAGTGGGC